AGGAGGCGGGGGCCGGGCTGGGGCGGGAGGGGACCGCAGTGTGCTGTGCGAGTCAGGACGTCTTAATGCTCACACTGTTTCTCTTCTCTCCTCGTCTTCCCCTCATGCTGCCACCGTTGCTGCCGCACTCTCCTGGCAGGCCTCTCTTAGCCACAGCTGGATTTTTGCAGTTGCGTCTGAGTTTGTGTGTTCTCCCCTTGCCCTGGCCTCTTCAACTGAGATCAGGGATCGCGCGGGCCCTGGCTGTCTCCCTCTGCCCCTCGAGTACACCCACTCCTTCCCTCTTGACCGCGTGAGGCCCAGTCAGCAGTCAGTGCCTTTCTCCCCGGAGAGAGCTGAGGAACCTACCCTGGCTCTGGCAGAAGGACTGGTCAGTCAGTACCAAGCACTCACGGCCCCTGGGCTGCAGCGGCAGCACACCTTAGCTGTTGGGACGGGCGCGGGGGTCTGTGCCGAAGATCAGAAAGCTACCATGAGCCTGCAGCTCCCTCCCCGCGCAGCCAGCTAATCTCACAGGCGCCCTGGCTGCCACCCAGCCCCACTCTCTCGTCCCTCTTCCTAGCCTGATCCTAGAGACAGCTGCACATAGGCTTTGGCTCCCTGCTTTGCAGCTCTTGCCTCTAAGGTACCAGCTGCCTTGTCTAGAGCCCCTCAGACTCCATCAAGGGATGGACGGCTCTTAGACTGCCTCTGTCCTTTGCTCCCCTGGCTGTAGGTCATGCTCAGAAAGTCCACACTCCACAGCTGGCCAGGAAGGCAGGAGGGGTGCCCAGTCTCCTGTCTGTCCGTCATTTGTCTCTGCTCTGTCCGCCTTGGCTGCCTTAGCACCTGTAACCTTGTGTCTCTGGGTGGGGAGGTGGTGGAGGGGAAGGAGGGGCTGGCTGAGGTATGGACAGGGTTTACCACAGGTCTGTGTCTCAGATTAAGAAGGCTGAGATAGACAGGAAGACGCTGGACTGGGAGATCGTGGAGCTGACCAACAAGCTGCTGGATGCCAAAAACACTATCAACAAGCTGGAGGAGCTCAATGTATGTGCACTTCACCTGCTTGGGGCCTTCCTCCTCACGGCCGGCCTTATCCGGCCCAGTCCTGCCCTGTCGGGGAGGGCCCAACTGGGCGCTGAGCCAGGTCTCTGTCTGTAGGAGCGGTACCGGCTGGACTGCAACCTGGCCGTGCAGCTCCTCAAGTGCAACAAGTCCCACTTCCGGAACCACAAGTTTGCTGACGTGAGTAGCACACAACCCATTCTCTTCAGGACTCCTCCAACCCTGGTTTCTACATCTCTTTGTCCTCCTGCCTTTAGGTCCCCCTTTCCACTTTGCCTTCCTCTTGTCTCCATGTCACCTCTCAAGCCAGTCAGCCCCGCCATTGGCTGGGGCCCTCCAGCCGGCACGCTGTTCCCCCGCTGCCCCCTCCCAAGCCCAGCCCCCCCCGCCATTGGCTGGGACCCTGCGGCTGTCAGGGGCCCATCACTAGTGCTAGGCCTTGTTGGTGTTTCTGTAACAGAGATTGGGAGAGGACCCCAGGAAAGGAGGAGAGGGTGGCCAGTGCTGGTGGCCATAAGCATTAAGAGAACTAGACCCATCTGCCCCCATTACCCCGAGGGGCGAACCATAGACCCCAGGTCTCAGACCCTGGAGTGATGCCGTCTGCAGGAGAGGTATGTCTAAGGCCACTGGTTAGTACCGATTCTCCGAACTTAAGCCACGCTGAGGTGGGTGAGATAGAAGTGTGAGAGCTCATTGGCCTCAGTAGCAGGTATGGGTTCAGATCCTGGCCATGTTCCTCAAAACCCTCAGGTGGTTTTACCCCTGCTGAGCCCACCTATCTGAGAAGTGGGAGTTATTACCATATACGTGGTATGCTGTGTGAACGTCGGTGGCCTGGGCCGGGCCCGCAGTGGTACTCATGCGCTGCAGCCATCACTGCCGAGTTGGGCAGCCACTCCTCTGCCATGAGTCATTCACGTTTCTCTCCCTTCTCCACCCCAGCTGCCATGTGAACTGCAGGACATGGTTCGGAAACATCTGCACAGTGGTCAAGAGGCCACCCCAGGCCCTGCTCCCAGCCCGGCCCCAGGGGCCGTCGTGCCTACCTCAGTCATTGCCCGGGTGTTGGAGAAGCCAGAGTCTCTCCTGCTCAATTCAGCCCAGTCAGGCAGTGCTGGGCGCCCTTTGGCTGAGGATGTCTTTGTGCATGTGGACATGAGTGGGGGTGCCCTGTGTGATCCAGCCAGTCTCCCAGCTCCTGGCAGCCCTACCTCCCAGCCTAATGGAGAGTGCCACTCTTTGGGTACCATGGGGGGCTCCCCAGAGGAGGAGCTGCCCCTGCCGGCCTTCGAGAAGCTAAGTCCCTACCCAACCCCATCTCCACCACACCCGCTATATCCCGGCCGCAGGGTGATAGAATTCTCCGAGGATAAGGTTCGGATCCCCCGCAATAGCCCCTTGCCCAACTGTACTTACGCCACCCGCCAGGCCATTTCCCTGAGTCTGGTGGAGGAGGGGAGTGAGCGGGCCCGCCCCAGCCCAGTGCCCAGCAGCCCTGCCTCAGCCCAGGCCTCACCCCAGCACCAGCCCAGCCCGGCCGCCCCATCACTCAGTGCCCCAGCCAGCTCTGCCAGCTCGGAGGAGGACCTACTGGCTAGCTGGCAGCGGGCATTCGTGGACCGCACTCCCCCACCTGCTGCCGTGGCCCAGCGCACAGCCTTTGGACGGGACGTGCTCCCTGAACTGCAGCGCCATTTTGCCCTGAGCCCTACTGACAGAGATGAGGTGATTGAGGCACCTTCTTCCCCACCCAGTGAGAGTGGACTTCTGCTGCCCACAGACCCGGACTCTGGCTTCCCCAGGGAGGAGGAGGAAGAGCTGAACCTTCCCATCAGCCCTGAGGAA